AAAAATCGAAAAATTAAGAGTCGAAGAACGAAAAAATCAAAAATGGAGAATTTCAAGAATCAAAAAATTGAGTAATCGAAAAATTGAAAATCCAGAAAGTGTCAAATTGAAAAATCGAACAATTAAAGAATAAAAAATCTGAAAATTCCCAAAACTAAAATATCAAAAACACAGATATATAAAAAGTTGAAAAATTGGGAAACCGAAAGCCGAAAAATCGTAAAATTGAAGAATGGAAAAGTTGAACAGCTGATAAATCAAAACATTGAAGTAGGGAAATCGAAAAATGGAAAGTGAGCAAATTTATTAATCGAGAAATTGAGAAAACGAAAAATCGAAAATTTAGAAACGTCATTAATTCAAAAACTGAAAAGTTGAAAAATTGAGAAAACGAAAAGCCGAAAAATCGGTACAGCAAAGAATCGGAAAATTGAACAATTGAAAAACTGAAAATTCGAAAAACAAAAAAATCAAGAAATGGAGAAATTGAAGAACCGAAAAATTTAAACATCCCAACACAAAAATATCAAAAAATTGAGTAATCGAAAAATTGAATATCGAGAAAGTGACAAAGTGAAAGACGAGAAATTGGAAAATTGAACAACTAAAGAATAAAAAAACTGAAAAATCTCAGAACTAAAATTTCGAAAACACTGAGAAACGCAATGTTGAAAAATTGAGAAACCGAAAAGGGGAAAATGAAAAGAAGGAAGAATTGTAAAATCCAAAAAATGAAAAGTTCCCAAATTGAAATGTGAAAAAATTGAGGAATCTGTGTCCATGCTATCCGAGTGTGGCCAACATCTACAGCACACATCCTAACCGGTTTCGACCATAATTTCTGCTGTTTCAACTTTCGAATTCTCAGTTTTTCGAAATTTTAGTTTGGGGACTTTTCAGTTTACTCCTATTTATTTTTCAATTTTTGGATTTTACAATTTCTCAATTTTTCAATTTCTCGGTTTTCAGTTTTTCTTTTCAATTTTACGATTTTTAAATATTTCGATTTTTCAACTTCACTTTTTTGATTTTTCGATTTCTCAATTTTTCAATTTTTTGATTTTTCAGTTTTTGGACGTTTGAGTTTTGGGATTTTTCAGTTTACTTGTTATTCAATTTTTCGATTTTTTTTAAGATTGCGATATTTCGACTTCACTTTTTTGATTTTTCGATTTCTCAATTTTTTGATTCTTTGGATTCTCGGTTTTTGGATATTTCAGTTTTGGGATTTTTCAGTTTTTCGATACGTCAGTTTTTCTTTCATTTTGCAGTTGTTCGATATTTCAGTTTTGTGATTTTTCAATATTTCTGTTCTTCGACTTTTCCATTTTTGACTTCTGGATTTTTCGACTTGTCGATTTTTTACTTTTTCGATTTTTAAATTTTAGTTTTCTCGATTTTTCATTTCAGCTCTTCCATATTATTTCAAATGTTTCGATTTCTTAATCTTTCGATTTTTCGACTTCCCGATTTTAGATTTTCTGCTTTTCAATTGTTATTTTGTCAAATTTTTGATTTTTTAATTTTTCAAATTTGACTTTCATAAACATTCAATTTTTCGATTTTTCAATTAATCGATGTTTTGATTTTCCTGTACTTCAATTCTTTAATTTTTTGATTTTTCAAATTTTTCGACTTCACTTTTTTGATTTTTCGATTTTTCAATTCTTCGACTTTTCTATTTTTGACTGACTATTTTTCGATGTGTCTACCTTTTTACTTTTTCAGAATCGATTAAATGAAACATTATAAAATCGAGAAAATGAAAATTAAAAAAATCATTGAAAAAAAAAAAACGAAAAAATGTGGCTTAAAAAAATTGGTCGAAGGAAAATAAATCCAGATTTTTCGAAAAATTATAAGATTTGATTTTGCGAATTTTATTTTTATAATAACCCTAATTTTTTAAATTGGAAATCGAATATTGAAAATTTGAAAAATTAAATAAGCGAAAAATTATTATTTTGTGTTTTTTATTTTTTCGTGTTTCAGTTTCATAATTTTTCGCTTTTTCAATTCCAATTTTTGCAATTTCCTAATTTTAGACATTCGTTTTTTTTTAGTTTTTCAATTTTTCCGATTTTTGATTTCTATTTTTCATTTTTCCGATTTTTTAATGGTAATTTTTTCAATTTTATATCACATTATTTCATTTTTCAGTTGTTCAAGTTTCCAATTTTTAATTGTTCTGACTTCTTTAATTTCCAATATTTCACTTTTACAATACATTTTTTTTTTCAGTTTTGCACTTTTCTTCTTTCGATTTTTGAATTTTTTGTTTCTTCAATTTTTCAAGTTCTTGATTTCCAATTTTTAGAGTTTTCAAAGTTCTTTTTTATTTTACAATTTTGCATTTTTTCCATTTATATTATGCGCAAAGTTTAAAAATCGAAAAATTAGAAAATCGAAAAAGTAGAATTTCTAAAAATTGTAACTCGAAGAACTGAAGAAACGAAAAATTGAAACATTGGAAAACTAAAAATGGAGCAACTTAAAAATCGAAAAAAATAATTAATCCAAAAACTGGAAAAAACGAAAATTGGAAAATCGAAAAATAAAAAAAAACTGAAATCGTAATAATGTGAAAATTTTTAAAAATTGTGTAATAATAATTTATTACATATTTAAAATGAACACTAGAAAATTTGCAAATCAAAAATTGAAGAAACAAAATATTGAAAATTGCACAAACTGAAAAATCTACAATCGAAACGAAAAAATTGCAAATCGAAAAATTACAGAAATCAAAAATCGAAAGATTAAAATTGAGAAACTTAAAAATCGAAAAATCAAAATATGTATTGTAAAATCTATTTCTCGACTTCTCTTTTTGGTTTTTCGAGTTTTCAGTTTTTAGTTTTTAGATGTTTCAGTTTTAGGATTTTTCAATATTTCAATTCTTCGGCTTTTCTATTTTTGACTTCTAGATTTTTCGATGTGTCTTTTTACTTTTTCGATGTTTAAATTTTTGGATGGTTTGCTTACCAATTTTTCGATTTGTTAATTTTTCATTTCCGATTTACCAAGATTTGATTGTTCAGGTTTTCGATTTATCGGTTTTTCTAACCTAAGATTATTACGTCACACCACACCGTAGTCACAACCAAAGATATTGAAGATAAGTATAGATGGAGCATGCCGTACAGCAATAGTTTGTGAATTTCTCTAATGACATAAGTGACCTTGTACCTAGAACCAGACTAATAAATCAAGTCAATCATTCTAACAACCGAAATGTTTTATTTTAATAACATAAGGTGTTACAAAAGGAATAAAAAATGATTTAGATATAGTTTTTTATTCTCTACGACTTTTGCATTTGACGTGTTACTCCAAAATAATTAGGGGAACCAATATTTTCACTTTAAATCATATAATTACATATTATTCTATGATCTAAGGTTTTTACACGCAAAATCCCTACCGTTAAAAACTTACAATAAATTAAATCTTAGGCGTCTATTTTCTTGTGCTTATACAAAGCCGATCCATTTTTAACCTAGTAAGAACACTGATCGTATTTGTATCACTTAATGTCCGTTCCAACCAAATGGACCTTTACATGCCCTTTCGAATTATTTTTCGTTTTACTTTTATAATAGTATTTCGCACATACATACCATTTCGGTTTTTCCGAATGATAAACATTTATGTGCTTCTTTAAAGAGAAAATATACTCAGTTCTGAAGCAAGTAAGTAAATTTATCAAATTATATGCCACAATCTTTCTTTATTAAAGTTATATACACAGCTTAATGCTACTACACCAAAATTATGCAAAATTAAATCCTACACATGTATTTTTTTGTGCTTATGGAAAGCTGATATATCTTTAGTTCTATAAGAACATTGTTCGCATTTGTACCACTTAGCATCCGCTTCATCCAAATGGCGGATATTTATATGCCGCTTTAATTGCGTGCTGAGTTTCGCTTTATATGGACAATTTTCGCACTGAAATGATCTGATATCTGAATGGCGACCACTAATATGCCTTATCAAATATTGTTTACTTTTACTTTTATACGAACAGTTCGCACATTCGTACCACTTAACTTCTTCTTCACTCACATGTTTAGAAATCACGTGATAACTGAAATTCGAGTGATGTTTAGTTTTGTATGGGCACTTTTCGCATTCGTACCATTTAATTTTTTCTTCGTCTACATGTTTCAAACGGAAGTGGCTGTTTAAAGATTCCTTATACTTAGATCTGAATGGACACTCCGTGCATTCGTGCCATTTAACGTCTTCTGCCCGCGAGTGTATCTTATTAATGTGCTTTTTTAAATTATTTTTTAATCTAGTTTTAAAAGGACATTTTTCGCACTTGTGCCATTCATCATCCGGTTCACATTTGTACAGCTTACAATTAGAATGGTGGTTGTATATATACTCGTTTGAATGGCCTACTACCTTAGCCTTACATAGACATGATTTGCACTGAAGTGATTGGATATCTGAATGGCGAATAGTTATATGCAGTTTTAAACTATGTTTTATTTTAGTTTTAAACAAACAGTTTGCACATTCGTACCACTTAACTTCTTTATTTGAATGTTGATTACGCACGTGATTTTTTAAAGTCGAGCGATCTTTAGTTTTGTACGGGCACTTTTCGCATTCATACCATTTAATTTTTTCTTCCTCTCCATGTTTCCAACTGAAGTGGTTCTTTAAAGAATGCTTATACTTAGATTTGAATGGACACTCCGTGCATTCGTGCCATAGAATGTCCTCTGCCGGCGAGTGTACGTAATACACGTGTTTTTTTAAACAACTTTTAAATTTAGTTTTGTAATTACATTTTTTGCACTTGTACCATTCACCATTTTTTTTATACGTGACATTCTGGCTCGAAGAACGATTTTCTTTCCTTTCCGTGCATGTAGAAGTATGTTGAAGCCTTTTTATCAAGGAATTTGTTTGGAAGGCGCATTTTTTGCAAACGTAGTCTTGGATGCTGAAGTCCTTGATTGACAAATTCTCTCTAGATTCACTCTTAAGGCCGTGATGTTTGTTAATGTGTTGTTTGAACAGAATCGTTAGATCCGTTTTAAAATCGCAGTCTTTGCAATAATACACTTCGATTTTGGCGTTGGAGCATGTAAATTTTTCCAGAGAGGAGCGATGTCGCCTCACGTGGTTCACCATAGACAAAATTGATGTAGTAAAATGGGGGCACAGTTTACAGTTGTGGACGTTTTTCCATGAAGATCTTCCGTGTGCAACGAATGCTTTTGAATATTCCAAAGTCAACATTGTGGGCCACCTAAAAACGTTTTATTAGTTATTACACTACGAAAGCAATTGCAATGTTAGTTACCTTTTAAATCTTGTTAAAGTAGTGTTAATGATGATTATCCTCGTGATTTTTAACACTATCTTAACCCCGCATTCTAAAATGGCAGAGTTGTAATCATGGTTGTAACCTAACATTTTTACGTCACAACCAAAGATATTGAATATAAGTATGACGTACACCTTCCACGCCATTAAGGGTGTCCAGTAGCAGACCGAAAAATGAGCTAAATAGATTTTCATTTTACGGGCGTAATTTCAACTTTGAAAAAGAGATCGACATTTCAATTGATAGATTATGTCTAAATCTCTGGGGAAGACACAATATTTTTTAAAATAAGTGAGTGTTTAGTGTTTAATTAATCGTTCATTTATCGAAGGAATTTGCATTTTTAGACGAGGAGAGAGCATTTTTCGCTTCAACTTTTATATCAGCGCAAAGACAACATTGAGCTCTATGGGGAAGACCCGGTCATTTTTGTTTAAAATTTATATTTATCAAAATATTTGCTTTTTAAAAAAATACTGACTAATGAAAATAAAGTGGAACTAGGCAACCCTATTTACAAAGTTTTCCCTTTCAATAAATGGCTGAGTTTTACACAGGAGGGAGTCTTGCCGACCGACCCTTCCAGGTAATCAGTCCAGGTACTTTAGGTCATAAAACTCATAAATACTCTTAGCTGACCAATATTGTTGAAACTCTTTTACAAGTCGACTTCTTTCATTGCTGACATAATTTGATGTAAAAGTATGCAAATTTTTATAATTTTATATATTCTACTAAAATATTTTCTTTGAAAAAATTATTCAAATATTTTTTATTAAACTGTCATTTTATATATTAATCAATACACAAAACTGACACGACTTAGATTCTCATCACTTCACTAACCACTTATTTACCTGAACAATCATATTTATTTAAATTTAATTTTTTGATACTCTTTTACGCACCACCTATATGAGGTAGAGCATTATAGGCACGTTTTTACGTGATATCTCCAGTAAACCTCTTCCAATATTACTATTTATTCCTGTGTGTGTTTATACTAGAAGGGCAAAAGATTTATATGAACTAGACATGACGCGAATGCAAATAAAAAATTTTAATTGTACAATTTTTTCTTTACAATTTGTCTAACGGGTTGACTTGTTTAATAACGAGAATCTACTCTCTCCGGAAGTAAGGCATATAAATAAAATTTTTCTAGGGCTCTATCATATTATTTTCCCAAAATTTATCATCTCGTTGAATTAAGCATTATATAAATTGGACATTTTATAAATTTCTACGATAGCGTTTTTGTTTATTAAGCCGTCTGGCGATGCCGCTAAAAATGTACAAACCGCATTGTCTTATTGTCAATTTGGTGTTACTGCAAAATGCTTCAGTTGCCCTTGATTCATTTTCTATGCAAAGATTTTGGGAGAGTACATGCTGAACTAGATTTGGAGGGATGTAAAATGTTTTTCACAGTACAGTAGGATTAGCCGTGTTACTTGTTCTCTCATTTTGCGAATTTTACCAAAATAACGTTCGGTTAGTCTAAAGGATTTTTCTGCGCACCATTCTGGATTATTGCATTCGCAAATTGTGTTTTGTTCGATTAAAAAGATATCAAGGTTTGAAAGTTTTTTGAGAAATACTTTTTGCGCTGTGACATATCAGGTATTTCAACTGCTTCGTTTGATACATCGTCGGTCGAGAACTTGTATGATCCACAGACCGGAGCGCGCTCAGGCCAATGTCGACTCTATAAGCCTCAAGAAATTCTGCGGGAAATGGTTATTATTTAGATGCTTTTGTTTACACACGTCTCACATGTTTCACTCGATTTTGACACTCAACTATTTTTTTGTTTAACTAAGAATTAATACTTTCACTGCGTTTGATACTAACGTCCTAAATTAACAATACTATTGGAACAGTAATCATGCAATAGATTTTTTTGGGAAAGTACAGTTATTTTTATGTTTTAGCAGCAATGTGTTCTATTTTCTATTAATTTTTACATATTTTTAGTCACAATTTTGGTAGTTATTTTTTACTTTTATTTTTAGCAATAATAAATAGCCCAAACATGAAAAAATAAAAAAAAATTAAAATTGGAAAATCTAAAATTTAGAAATCGAGAAATTGAACAATCGTATAATTGAAAAATCGAAACATCGAAAAACTAGAAAATCGAAAAATTAAAAAAAAATGGAAAATCAGAAATTTAATGAATTCCGAAAATTGAAAAACTGAAATATGCATAGAAGAACTGAAAACTCGAGAAATCGAAAAATCTGGAATTTTAAAAATTGAAAAATTAAAATATCGAAAAGTTGAAAAATTGCGAAATCGTATCAGTGAAACATCGGACAATCGAGAAATCGAAAAATAAAAAAATGGAGAAATCGAAATTTGAAGAATGGAAAAATTGAAAATGTCAAAAATTAAAATACCGAAAAATTGAAACATCAAAAGTTGAAAAATCGAAAAACCGAAAAATCTCAATAATGTATTTATAAACCACAAGTTCAGGATTATGCTACTAAAAAATTGATAACGTCATCTCAAAATTTTGCCGAATAAATTCTACTAAAAATGTGCAAAATATGATGAGTTTTTACTTGTAATTTATCATTGCATTCACATTTTTTTAGATTTGCTTATAGACCTAGGTGGCTCAAAAAAATTAATGAATGAGTCAATTTATTCTATTGATTAAATCAGTCTCGACTCACTCCATTTTCCCAGAAATTTTTGGAATACTGTTATTTTTAGTCTAATCCACATTGATTTACGTGTCCTTGCAAAATGTTGATGATTTCATCACAAAATTGTGTACCTAAAGTAAAAATTTAACTCGAAAATGCTGGATATGTGTCATTGTATTTTAGGTGCGACGGAAGTTCTGTCGAAATAACTTTCCACCAATTTTTTTTTGCTGTTATATTTGAACATAAACAGTTTATTTTATATATTTTTAAAACATTATAAAGAAAATAAAAAGTTGTGTTAGACTGAACCTTGTGGGTTTCTCAATCTATTTTCCGCAGCATTTTAAACTTTCAACTCAATTTCTTTCAAAATACATAGAAAAGGATTTCGATGGTTATTTCCCTGTACCCTTCATTTGAAAATAAATAAGCTTATCTGGTGTTGTTTACCGATTTGCATTTTATGACGGACTTCATACAGTCACCATAATCTCTCCTCTCTTGGGTCGCTACCTGCCGTGTATCCGTACTTTGGGTTGCATAGTTACAAAAAATAATTCTTCTCACTGAAACCGATTTTGCGGGCGACGACTGGGGACCCTTAATAACTTAATAACTGGTCTGCAGTTTGATGTAGACACATCTAGATTAATTTAGTAAAATGAAAAAACTTTCAGAGTTTAAAAAATATATTTGTAGTCACTGCTACACGTGTTTCAGTTTCTCTTCTGCCTGAAGACGGTACTGTGTACCGAAACACGTGTAGCAGTGACTACAAATATATTTTTTAAACTCTGAAAGTTTTTTCATTTTACTAAATTAATATGGAGTTTAAACAAGTATCAGCCTCATCAATACAAACACATCTAGATTAATATCATTTTTCCATACAGAAAATTTAAAAAATGTTATATCGCGTCTTAAATTGACAATTGAGGCACATAACCTCAAAAATTAAATGAACTATCGACATAATAACCGACGTAGAAAGTCGACCAGGAAAGATACCAGACAAGTGTTACCAGTCTGCGTTCACTCTACTAATATTCATCGTTAATTTTTTCAACTAAGCAAATTTATTTTATATGTTATAAACTTTCGCTTTATTAAAGTTATATACACAGCTTAATGCTACTACAACCACATTATACAAAAATAAATCCTACACATGTATTTTTATGTGTCTAGACAAAGCCAGTCACTCTTTAACTTTGTAAGAACATTGTTCACATTTGTACCAGTTAACGACCCGCTATTTATATGACGCTTTAAGTGCGTTTCGCTTTATGTGAACTTTTACATGCTCTTTCAGTTTATCTTTTCTTTTACTTTTATATAAACAGCTCGTACATTCGTACCACTTAACTTCTTCTTTGTCTACATGTTTCACACTCAGGTGTCTGTTTAAAGATACTTTATACTTAGATTTGAATGGACACTCCTTGCATTCGTGCCATTTAACGTCTTCTACGGGCAAGTGTACATTAATTATGTGTTTTTTTAAATTCCTTTGTATTCTAGTTTTAAAAGGACATTTTTCGCATTGGTATCGCTTACAATCAGCATAGTGGTTGTATAAATGCTCCTTTAAATGACCTTCTACCTTAACCTTACATGGACATGATTCACCCTGAAGTGATTTGATATCTGGATGTCGACAACTTTCATGCAGTCTCAAATAATATTTCCTTTTACTTTTAAAAGAACAGTTCGCACATTCGTACCACTTGACTTCTTCTTCACTCAAATGTTGAGCATTCACGTGAAATTTTAAAGACGTGCGATATTTACTTTTGAATGGACACTTTTCGCATTCGTGCCACTTAATTTTTTCTTCCTCTACATGTTTCGCATTTAAGTGGTTGCTTAAAGATTTCTTATACTTAGATTCGAATGGACATTCCTTGCATTTGTGCCATTTAATTTTTTCTTTGTCTACATGTTTCAAACTGAAGTGGACCTTTAAAGAATCCTCATACTTGGATTTGAATGGACACTGTTTGCATTCGTGCCATTTAACGTCTTCTGCCCGCGAGTGTACGTAGTACACGTGTTTTTTTAAACAACTTTTGAATTTAGTTTTGTAATAACATTTGTCACACTTGAGCCATTCAATATTTTCTTCGTACGTGACATTCTGGAGCAGAGAACTCAGACTTTCAAGATTTGCTTTCCTTTCCGTGCATTCTGAAGTATGTTGACGCCACTTTATCACGAAATTTGTTTCGAAGGCGCATTTTTCGCAAACGTAGCTTCGTATGCTGAAGTCCTCGATTGACAAATCGTCTCTAGATTCACTCTTAAGGCCATGATGTTTGTTAATGTGTTGTTTAAACAGAATCGTTAGATACGTTTTAAAATCGCAGTCTTTACAATAATACACTTCGATTTTGGCATTGGAGCATGTAAATTTTTCCAGAGATGAGCGATGCCGTCGCACGTGGTTCACCATACACAAAAGTGATGTTGTAAAATAGGGGCACAGTTTACAGTTGTGGACGTTTTTCCACGAAGATCTTCCCTGTGCAAAGAGT